TTTTGAGAATGATGATGGCAACAAATATACAAATTATGATGGCAACGAATTTGTACAAATGTACAAAGGATAGATAGATATAATGGATTGTGATAAGAGTTGTACAAGCCCCCAATAAAATGATTGAAAAAAGAAGAAGAAAGTCAATGTAGAATGAAGGCAACATGTGTACAAATTCCCCTGATGCAATCGATGTATGGATTGTAATCAGAGGTGTAAGAGTCCCCAATAAAATGATCTCTTAATTAAAACAAACAAACAAACAAACACCCTGCCATTGAGTTGATTTCGATCCAGTGACCCTCTAGGGCAGAGTAGCACTGCCCCTGGGGGGTTTTGGAGCTGGTCGAGCTCTACTGGACTAGAAAGCCTCATTTCTCCCAAAAAGGAGCTTGGTGGTTAAACTGCCACCCTTCCGGGTGCTTAGCCAGCATATACAAAACACCAATATGGCCTGTGGTGGTTCTCAACAGACAATTGCCACCATGATGAGTGGTGACACTGTCGGTGGGGCGTGGGAGTCCTATCGTGGTTCTTGGGATTGCCCACGCTGAGATTTTCCCACAGATGTGGCGGCTAGCTTGAGCAGCGGGCAGTGTGATTGCTCCCCATCGGGGGCTAGCTGGGCTCTGGGTTCTGAGCTGAAACCCCTGGGGCCGTGGGAGACCTGGACCACCGGCCCTTGCTCACCTTGCCCGAGGTTTTGACGCCTTTCCAGATGCTGAAGTAGACCACAGTGAAGATCAGCATGATGCACAGGGCAAGCTGCCAGCTGATGCCCCCCAGATCCTGGAGCCCCTTTGACCGGTGGATCTGCAGCACGTGGCGCCTGGCGGCAGAGAGAGGTGTGTGAGCAGGTCTGATGGGGACGTGAACGAGCCACCCACAATGCCTCCAGGAGTCATGGTGCTGCAAGGCCCTTGTGTCCCCGGGTCCAGAAGGCGAGCCGCTTACTCAGCCACCAGCCCCGAGAAGACCTCTGAGCCCAGAAGCAGGTGGCCGGGCTCACCTCTCCAGGCTGGGACCTGAAGCCCCTCTCATCAACACGATTGTCATTTTAACACACGAAGGTCCTGTATATGTGGGTCCTAGGGCTCCTCTGCCACCCCAAACTTGCCCTCTCTTCAGACTGCTACACTGTCTGAAACCCTAGCTTGAAGTTTCTCCAATCATCTCCCCAAAGAGAGATGCCACTTCTGCAGTGGACGCATTGAACCAGAAACCCCGAAGTCGTGTGTCCCGTGCTTACTTCCAGTGACCACTGGCTGGGAAGAGGGCCCGGAAGAGGGGTGGCTTTGAAGCAGGAGAGGCATTTTGGAATGTGAAGGTGGGGCCCAGCCTGGCCCAGTAGGAAGGAGGGGAGAGGCTCACGAGGGTCAGGTTAAAGAGCAGTCTCCCAACTCCAAGTCCGGCCTGGGAACCCACTCTGTCCTGTTCTCAGATCACATCTGCTCACCAGCATCACCTCTCAGGAAGACCTCTCTGGCAGACAGCCCCCTCCCCCACCCTGACTGATGAGCACTTACGTGTAAAACTCTTCAGCGGGGGACGTGGAATGGAGGGTCCAGGTGACGTTGTCCTCAGAGAAGTAGTTGGTGCAGTTGCCGGTGTTCCAGGAGTTCTTGCAGCTGGTCCAGGGCAGCTGGTCGGTGAAGGAGGAGATGAGGTAGTAGAGAGCCCAGGCCATGATGGTGTTGTAGTACGAGGCGATGTAGAAGGCAATGATGCAGATGGCGTAACCTATGCCTGGGGGACAGGGGAGAGGACGGGCTTCAAGGTCGGCCAGGGTGAAGGATGGACACTGGCCCTGGAGGGCCTTGTAGCCGCCCAGAGGAGGGTTAGGGATGGGCTGTTGTGGATGGCATCAAGTTGGCAAGTCCAAGGACAACAGAACGCAGTACTGCCTGGTCCTGCCCCAGCACCGTCGTTGACCGTATCGACTCTATGATTAAGGCCTCTCTGTACTGGGGGTGCCTTCCAACCCTCAGGGGCTTATCTCCCAGCACTTAATCCAGACAGGATTCTGTTGTGCTCCAGAAGGTTTCCACGGGCTAATTTTTGGAAAGAGATGGCCAGGCTTGTCTTCTGAGTCTCTTGTAGGAAGTACTGCTTTCCTCACGAGGGGTGACCCCGGTGGCATTTGAAATATCAGAGGCATAGCTTCCAGCATTGTAGCAACATGCAGGCCACAAACTGATGGATGGATGGTGAAGAGGTGCGGACTGCCACCTGTTCCCTCCCCAAGGACTCAGGACGATGGCGGGGAAAGTGGTGAGTCCGTAACGTAGTCATAAAACGGGCACTTGCAAAGTGACGTGTTTTAGGAAATGGGTGCGCTTGCAGCTAATGCTTTTAAAACGTGTCTTACGTTACACTCGATTGCATCCGTTTTGTCTGAACGAATAACACGTATTCTCTTGCAAACTTATCGTGTCGTTTGCTTCAAATGGCCATTTCTTCTCGTCCCCCTTTACCATTTCTTTTCTTGTGATAAAAATAGGTGTGACAAGACATTGGCAGACTTAGCAACTCTTGTTACCCATTGTTACAGTCAGGGATGTAATTGCCCAAGTTATCTTCCAGGGATACCGGAGGCCGAGTGCTTCCAAAGGAAGGGACCCCCATCCACTCCCAGCCCTCCCTTGGGAGGTCCCACTCACCCCCTACTCCAGCCCCTCACTGACCTTTGAAGATGGGACAAATTTTCCTCCATATGGAGATGCAGCCATTTCGGTGGTACTGGCCCAGCGCGAGCTCCATGTAGAAAAGCGGGATCCCTCCGAAAATGGCCATGATGGTATAGGGGAGGAGGAAGGCTCCTGAGAGAGGTGTGCGTGGTTTCACCCCCTGACCTCATCTGGGGCAAGCCCCACCACCACCGCGGGAGGGGGAAGGAGGGACTTCACAGAACCACCCACAGCTCTGAGTGGAGGAGCCCTCCAGGGTCAGGTGATTTCCTGCGGGGTGCCCTCTTCTTAGAGCTCCCCCAGAAACAGCCGTGAACAGGCCATGTGGTGGGAGGAGGTTTGGGGGAGCTTACTGGGAGAGAAAGCTGGGATTGGGAGTCGAGAAACTAAGCATCAGTCCCAGTGCAACTCCCCGCCCCCCCGCCCCCCAGGACCTCCTCCCCAATGAGAGGGCAGTGTGGATAAGAGCTGAGGTTCCCAAACCCAGCCACCTGGTGAGCTGAAAACACCCCGATTCCTGGATCCATCCCGGATATCCTGAAGCAGAACCCCCAGACACAGCACAACACACATGGTTTTTCCGGGTGACTCCCATGCAATGTGTATGTAGACCAGCGTGAGGGCTTGGGTCAGCTCACCAGCAGGGTGCCTGCCAGCTTGTCTCTGATCCCCTGTCTTTCACTGCTGGATTACACTGCCCCAGACATATGGTTAGTGATGTCTGGATACCTGCCCATAGGTCCACTGAGCCAGAACTCTCCGGCACAATCCACCGTTACAGGTGTGCTAAAATGAGCATGCTTCGTCCAGGCTGCTGTGTCCTGGACCCCAGGGACTGCGTGGCTGCGACAGAATGTCTGGCATCAGTCCAGTGGGCACATCAGCTGTGTTTTTCCCTGATAACTTTCCCTCACGTAGAGGACTTTGAACCTGAGAACTTGCAGTCAGTGCAGCTCAGAAAGGCCCCGCCTAACTCCCCAGCATGCCCGGCGACTCGGCTTGAGAAGAACCCCCTGTGCTTTTCTGTGGCCTTCACCCCGAGGGCTTGCCCAACCGGTGGTGCCCCAGCCCCTCATGCAGCACTCAGGCTACAGGTGGGTCCTCTCAGGCCATCAATGAGGTAATGGGGCTTCCTCTCCTCCCAGCCAGGGAACTGGAAATGTCTTTTGCAGCTACAAGTGACATAGACTTACACACAAACAAAAACAACAACCCTCACAGCCAGGGAGTTTTTCCCCTCCTAGGGGCCTTGTAGCACAGAGTAGAATTGCCCCTGCCGGTTTCTGAATCTGCTTCCAGGTGTGGGAGCAGGAGCCTCACCTTTCTTCCAAGGAGCAGTTGGTAGATCTGAACTGCTGACCTTGCAGTTACCAGCCCAACACTTAACCACTGTGCTACCACGGCTCCCTACTGCATGGACAGAAGTCCTTGAGAAATGCAGCAGACCCAAGCCACGTTGCTGGGTTGTGGAAGACACGGAGGGGCACACATGATGTAGCCCCCAAACCTCGTTGTAGGTACCCTCTGAAATCTATTGTCGAGGCTCTGCCAAAGCAAATATTGCCTGATTGGACATTCCTGGGCCTCACAGGAAGGCCAGTTTCCTACCAGCACCTACCATCTGTAACTGTGCTAGGTGGAACTCTCTTGGAGGGGATAGACGGTCTTTCCATGTGTTGGTTTGGGGCTGGCATTCATTTCCCGTTAGGCCTAAGGTTCAGGTTTAGATCAGGCCCAGATAGGTAACTCAGGACTCTGCATCTCAGTGGAAGCCCTTCTCTGACCTCACCCTGGCCAGGTAAGTGTCTGGGGCCTGGAAATCACCTTTCAATTTTTTGTGTGCGCAGATCTAGTCCTCCCCACCCCCCCACCCCACCCCCACCTTCTGAGAGGGACCAGCCACATCTGGAACAGACGGCCCTTCCCGCCCCCCTCTGCCAAGATAAAGGGTAGAGTTTGGAGGAGGTTGGGCTGAAAGACCGGGCCCTTCTGGAGAGGAGGCATCAGACGTGATGGAAATCTGGTGAGATCGAGTTTGGGAGGGTCATCATCCAGCGGTACAACTCCAAGAGCCTCCACAGGCTGATCTACGCTTTTGTCTTAGGGAGGGGTTGACTAGGAGGCCACCTTGGGAGTCTAAGCAATTATGCTCTGGATCTGACCTGGCCCCGCCCTGCGTCAGAGCCCGGAGCCCAGGACACCCACCTCCTCCGTTCTGGTAGCATATGTAGGGAAAGCGCCACACGTTGCCCAGGTCCACCGCGTAGCCGATGACCGACAGGAGGAAATCCACCTTCTTGCCCCAGGTCTCCCGTTCCCCCTGGTGAACCTCGGCCACGAGGGCGGCGGTGGCTGCCGGCGGGGTGTCATCTCCTGCCCCCGGGCTCGGGACCGCGGAGTACCCGTTGGAGATGTGGCCCCGCTCTGCTTTGTCGCCCGGGGCGGGGATGCCTTTGCGCAGGACCCCATTTTCCTGACAGTCTGCTCCCTCGTTCTGGGCGGACAGCTCCTTCTGAGAATCCAAGGGCGTGGTCTCCATGCTGTGGCTTAGGCCAGGACACCCGCTTCCATCTGCCAGAGGCCTGAGGGGAATCACGGAATTCCCAGTCCTGGGGTCCCTCTGAGCGTTACAGAGATGGGATGGCGTTCTGGTGGGGAGCCATGCAGAGAGAGGAGAATAAAATCAGGCATTGCGCTTGTCATTGGTGTTACGACGTCATCATACCTCTTACACGACTTCAATGAGCCAGGGTCACAGATGCCATCTGTTAACTGTGAGTATGAAGACACCCCCCAGACCACACAGGGTCAAGACAACCAACTCAACATTTCAACCGATGACACCCAAAGGCCCTAGACTTGTTGCCAGCGTGTCGGTTCCAACTGGTGGTGACCCAGCATGTTCAAGGGAGGGTCTTCTCGGCTGTAACCATGATGAAAGCAGACTGCCAGGCCTTTCCTCTGCACCACCACCGGGTGGGTTGGCACTGCCCACCCAGCGCGTCATATCACACCCAAGAAATTTGTGACGTAAAAACCAAACAAACAAAACACACAACAGCAACATAAAATAGTTTGCAAATCCCCCTGGCTTCCCACAGGTCCCTATTCCAGGGACGGAAACCTCTCCGTCTAGCACAGTCACTAAGAAGAGGGTCAGACCAGGGCTCGCTCAGTCCAAGCAAGGTGCTGTGTTCTCAGAAAAGCTCACTGCCAGCGACTGGACGTGGGTTCAGAGCGACCCCGGAGGCTTCTGAGACTGTCAATCTTTAGGGGAATGGAAAGCCTTGTCTCTCTCAGGATGCTGTGCTAGGTCCTGAGAAAATGGTAACCACACTAACAAGAAGCCAGCTCTGCCTCTCTGAATAAGAACAGTCTTCCCCCCTAGGTCAGAGTCCCACACTTCAGCCGTGATTTAGAAAGTAAAGAGCAAAGGATAGAGAGGGAAAGGCCGCCCGAGTGGCTGCCAGGTGAACTTTTTCACCCTTCCCTTCGCCCTGGGCTTGGAAACCTTCAGGAGAGTCCAGCTGCCGCATGCCTCCTATCCGTCTGCTGGCCGGAGTGCCCACTGTGCCTGTGAAAGCCCCGCTTGGGCTTGACCTGGTCCTGGCCCGGTGGCTCACCAATCATTCTTCATGGCCTTCGGAAGCAACTCTGGCGGCTATTCCACTTGGTGTTCTGCCCCAGGACAGGCAAGGTCACCTCTGGTGCAGGTCAGGGGAGGCAGGAGAAGGCATGGGGGCTACGGAAGCTGCTCTCGGCGGTGCCTCGGTCACTGTGTGCTTCTGAAGGAGGGCTGGGCACTGGCTCCTTCACAACCGGGCTCCGATGGAAGGCTGGGACATCACCGTGGGGTAGAAAGTGAGCCCTTTTGGACTTCATACCTGTGACCTGTTATAAAGTTGTGAGCCGTTAAGACTGCAGCCACTTGCTTTGTTTGGGGTTTGAGCACTTCAAAGGCGTGTAGTAGTTCATGGGTTCAAATGGGTTCCCACTAAGTAAAGATCCCATTACGCTTTTCTGGAAAAAATATATCCACAAATGGCCTGCCACCAGAGCTGTCAACTGCAAAGGCAGAGCACTGGCCTGGCCTGGACCCAGCAGAGGATGGGTGGCTTGGGATTGGTGACTGGTAGAAGTGGCAGAGCTTGTCTCTTCCCTACCTAGAACCTAACCATCTGTCCATGGAGAGGTGAAGACAGAAAGGTAGCCGGTGGAGAGTTAGAACCGCATGTAGTAGATCCACCTGGATGACTCTGGATGTAAACACTGGCAAAGATTAGACATGAACACCAGGGAGGTAAATAATTCGTTTTGTGAGATTTTTTTTCCCCTCTGTGAAGAGGAAAATAAAAATGTCAAAGAGATTGATGGTTGCCCAAAACACCCACAGTAACAAGAGATGTTCTGTGTCGCTAGGGGTAGTTTGGGAGGAGGGGTGGTGGAGGATGTGGTGGTGGAAGTGGAGGTAGAGGTGGAGGTGGTGGTGGGGTAGAGGTGGGGTGTGTGTGGAGGGGGCGGTAGGGAGATAATAGTGGTGGTAGTGGTGGGGGGGGCGATGGAGGAGGTGGAGGTAAAGGGGGTGGTGGAGGTGCTGGGGCATATTTGCAGAGGTAGGCAGATGTCCTGGGTTCTACTCGCTTCAATCCTGGCCCAACCAAGCACAGGGATGTAAACACCACTGAGAGAAGAATATACATTTCTGTGTATCTGGCAGGAAGGTCTAGAGCAGCCGTTCTCAACCTTCCTCATGCTGCGACCCTTTCATACAGTTCCTCCTGTGGTGGTGACCCCCCCAAACCATTACATTATTTTTGTTGCTACTTCATCACTGCCATGTTGCTATTGTTATGAATTGGGCGACCCCTGCGAAGAGTTGTTCAACCCCCAAAGGGTCGAGACCCACAGGTTGAGAACTGCTGGTTTAGAGCAAACCGCATTCTGTTCATCATTTCATGCTGCTGCCCAGTCTTTCTGCGCCCCCTTCCCTGGGACCTTCGCTCCGCTTGGTCCCAAGTGGGGAGAGAGAGACCTTTTAAATGACCCCACATCCTCTCACCTCCCTCAAACTGAACAGCCGCTGTCGAGAGGACTTTGATTCATGACGAGGCCATGGGTCTCATGATAGACCTGCTCCCAGGATTTGCTTGACTGTCGGGCATTAGGCTGCGATCTGCATGGTTGGTGGTTCAAAGCCACCAGCAGCTCCGTGTGAGAAAGACGGGGCCTTCTACTCCCATAAACAGTTACCGTCTTAGAAACCCACAGCGCCGACTCGATGGCAGTGAGTTTGGGTTTTGAGAATCTTTATGAACCCGATCGCCAGGCTTTTTCTCCCATGGTGCTACTGGGCGGGCTCCAATCAGCAAGTCTGAGGCCAGGAGCCCAGCACCGGCCACTTGGGCTTTTCATCCTCCATCGAGAAGCATGTATCCAGGCCAAGGATGCTTTGCTCTTTTAAATAAGAGGCGATGAGATGTCAGCCTATTTAAACATACAGCTAAGGACACAGTCTGAACGGGGTGGTCTCTTGGGTGGAGCTCTTTTGATTGTTTTGTTTTTCAGCCCCTGTATTTCTCTCTGGCCCACACCAAGAGCACGCTTTCCGCTTTAAATGCTGAATAACTTGAATGCCACGTGGCAGCTAGAAGGAGCTGAGCTTTACCTCATCTCAGCCCAGAAGCCTGCCTGAGACCCTGGCCCCGCCCCTGGCCCTTTCATCTTTCCTTCCTCCACCTTGAAAACTGCACTCGGTATTCCCTGCAGGACCGTCTTCCTATTTTCAATCGCCATTCTCCTCTCCTCTTGGTTTAAGTTGAAGCTCAGAGAACAACTGCATCCCCCCACCTTCCTCCTTCCTGTCCCCGCAGCCAGAAGAGAAACACCTCGGGAGCCATCACCGAGCTGGGAATAAGCACGGGACTATCGCAACGGCTCGCGACCGGCCACTGCAGAAGCGGGGTGACTGGCTCCAGATTCCAGAGCCACCTAGTCTGTGACTCCAGCCTAGACTTGCGTTACCGAGTGACGGCGAGGCACCACCTGCTTTGCTGGGTGCTCTTTGTGGTCAGGAGCAGACCCTGCCCTCTGGGCTGCAGCTTGTAATTTGCTGCTGTTTTTCTGCTCACCTGTTCCCTCGCAAACATTCCAGTTCTGATTTGCTGTTGAAAACCGCTACCACAGAGAGAAACCATGAAAACTTTAAAAAGAGAGAGGTATCAGACTTGCCTCAGAACCAACTTGGAACGGAGTAGGTAGTCAAGACAGACCCCCATCGTAAGTAGGGGACTACCTGTACTTTCTCCCCCGAGGCACCCTGCAGGGACACTAGAGCCCTGCTTATAGGACCCAGGTGCAAACAGGGAAGCAATACCTCCTTGTCTTCCACTTCCCCGCTCCCAGGAGCCCACCAGGTCAGGCAGGAGCCGAGGAAATGCACGTAGGCCCCCCTCAGTCTGCAAAGTCCTGCCGGACAGATCCAGGACCCCCACTCCCACTTCCTGATTCTACAAATCACACTGACTGGCGTTTTCAATAAGACAACCATGGCGGAGAGGGGACTGGCCCGGGAATATAGAAGTCGGAGTTGTTAAAAGGTTGGTTTCTGAGAACGTTCTCTTGAAAGCTTTCTTTTTTGGGTGAACGGTATTTTTATCCTGCTGGATGGAAAGATCACAAGTCGGGTCAATATTCCCTCCTCTGGGCAACCTTTGAGTCTTTCCAGGACCAGACAAAGGCCCGGAAGCTTCCTCTGCACCTTGAACGTGTGCCACTGTCTTAGACGGAGCAGGTGACAAGCTGTGGGTGGGGTCAGGTAGCTCGGCATCATGGAGGAGCCCCCACCCAATACGCGCGAGCCTCATCCCGTGGACATTCGAGGGGCCGTGCAGTGGTGACTTCGACGGACTGACCGTGAAGGGGCACTTTCTGGGGTATTTCACTTTCCTCTCAGCCCTGTGACTAGGCTCATTCACTCCATGGTCCCCTCCACCTCCACCCTCTCATCAAAAGAGTTGTTGGTATTTACACAGCTCCTGATCAACTCTCCTTTCCTTTCTCCACGGGCTCTGTCTCTGTCGTCCGGTCCGGGGGAACCTGTGGCTGCATCAGCCTGTAATTACAATTAGTCATAAAGGCGCCCAGCCCTTTGGAAAGGCCCATGACTCAACGTGTCTGCTCACTGTTCATCGGCCCATTCTCAGCAGAAACGCCGTTGCAGACATGCTGTGCTTGCACTTCAAGTGTCAGGAGCAATGTGAACTCATTCATCAGGGTACTCAGTTTCCACTTTCAAAACACCACCACTACCAGCAGCAGCAGGACTCAGAGGCCTAACCAGGAGATAAGAATAATGATAGGTCCCATAGCTAAGTGACAATTTGTATTCTCTCTCCAAGGGGAGTCTAAAGTCCCCAAGGCCGCCCGCCCAGCGCAATCCACACTTAACCTGGCTCCCTGCTGTGGCTTCAGCAAAGATAGGTGTGTAAAGGGTTTCATATGGCCCTTCTGGCTGTAGTGGGTATCATGGATGGGACTATGAAAACATGGATCTTGCCAGAGGGATTGGACAGTTCTTGTTCATGCAAATGAACCCTTGCAGGCCTGGGGCCATATAAATTAGGTGTCTGGAATCCTAACCAGAGGATTGGTCAGTTTCGCCATCAGGCAGAAAGGGAACACACTGAGGGGGAGGAGCTATGACATGGGAGGCCGTGAGAGATGGCAGAGCAACAGTAGCAAGAGTGGTAGGGGCAGGACCGGAAGACTAGGATAAGACGCCTTGGTGGGCTTCAGAGTTGTAACACTTGCCAGAGAAGGCCCAGAGTAGGGCCTAGGGACAGGAGGTAAGAAGAAGCTGACCTGGTCAAAAACTGTATCCCAAGTCATTCTCGATCCTAAATTTTAAATGGCCCCTTGCCTTATTAAATCCTATAGCTGTGAATCCTCGTATGGTCTGTGAGTTCCACGCGGCCATTGCCAAGTTATCAGACCCAGGAGAGGAGCAGCGGTGCGTGGGAGGGACAGCAGGTAGTAGAACCCGTCCAGAAGGTAGGAGAGAGGAGGTAACCCAGATCGCTGCCTCAGGAGTCAGCCCAAGGCTGTAGATTCTCCTTTGGCCTGGAGGCATTGGAGGCGGGTAGACATTTGGGCCATTGTTTACTATGTGCTGGAATCCTGGGTGGGACAGACAATTAAGGCACAGGATTGCCCATTGGAAGGTTGGAGGCTCCAATCTACCCCAACACATCTCAGAAGAAGACCCCATGAAGCACAAGCAGGGGTCTCCCCCACACATGGGACTGCCGTGGAGTGGAAGCCACTCAAAGGCAGCTGGCTTCGTCTTGCTTGGTTATTTTTACTCTGCTTTTAGAAACAAGACGTGTCTAATGGAGCCCACTCACTGTCCAAGGCCAAGGCCTCAAAAGGATCGGACGGGCTGCTAGGAAACCAGTAGTACCCTCGTGAAGGGGACAAGTGCTCCGGCGTCCTGCTGGTGCGGCCCCACTCCCCACTGCTCACAGAGGTTTCTGCAGACCGACCACGTGCTGCAGCTTGCTTGCTTACCTCCTGCTGCCAGCCCCGAGCGGCCCCGGGGTTTGAAAGTTTGCCTCTGGTGGCATGGCTCCTCTCCTGTCCTGGGTCCTTGGGTTTTCCTCGCGTGCTCGCAGGCTTCCACAGTGGGGTCGTCTCTGTGTCTGCTGAAGGTACAGAGATGACCCACTGTGGTCCTTACGTGTCACAGGTCCTAAGCCAGGGACCCCTAGCTTGCCCTTCAAACTAAGGCAAGAGAGTCTGTGATCCAGACGAAGGCGGCCGGGGACATCTGCTTGTCTTGGGAGCTGAAGGGTGGAAAAGAACTCCAGGCTCACAGCCACCTAGCTCCTTATCTCAAGGACGAATCCTGGGCTGGGGGATGGTCTCCAGGAGAAGCCCTTAGACCAACCAAGCCCACTGTCCTCGAGTCGATTCATGAGCTAAACTCCTTGTGGCCATTTTGGCAACTTATCCCCAGAGGGAAAAGTCCTTTGGCCAGAACTTTCCCTGCCTGGGAGAACACAGCCCTGAGCTTCTCCCCACACCGAGTGTAGACAACTCGGGACTAGCTCTGTGTGATGGGCTCCGCCGGCTCATTCCACAGGCCGGCCCAAAGTATGATGGATCATGTGCGTTGACTTCCAGAAGGAGAAACGGACTGGGCAGCAACAGGCTCGATGACCCTTCCTCCCATGAACGTGGCTTCCAGCTTCTGCCTCGTCTGCTGGCTGCCCTGAGTTTTTACATGTGCATGACCTGCAGCTCACCTGGCTGTCTCACAGACCTGCACTGGAGTCCCGGCTCTGCCACGTGCCAGCTGTGTGACTCTGGGTAGGTTACTTAACTTCTCTGAGCCTCAAGTTCCACAGCAGGGAAAGCAGACTGTTGACAGGCCTATTTGTAGAAAGGCATGTTAATTAGGGACCAACCATCAGGGGCAGTGAGTTCACGGCCACTCCTACCACCCCATGCGAGTCACTCTTTCAGCTTTATGCGCTTGTGTCCCAAGGAGGGAGACTGAAACCCGGAGGGCTAGGTGACTTGGGACCCACGGCAGGCTGAGTCAGATCCTACTCAGCCTCCGTCTTCCTCCAAGGGCCTCGCTGGTTAGCACTGGTTCCTCTGCACCGGAGCTTGAGGTCGGTCCCCCGGGGAACTTAGGAAGAGCAGATGCAGAGATTCTAATTCACCAGGTCTAGTCTGAGGCCTGGGTACCCCCAGGTCTTTTAAGCCAATACCCCCACCCTTGGGGATTCTGGGAGAGGTGAGCCACGGGCCTCACCCAGTTGGCTTAGTAGTTCCCTCCAACCTCCCGTCCAGGTGGCCATGAAGCATTTCACCTGTGGCTGTGGGTGAAATGCATCTCTCCTGCGGGTAACACGTTGTCTTTACCTTTCGAATGCGTTTATTGAGAGTCCGGGTGCTCTGGGCAAGGCTGGAGGGACTCCATTTCCTCACCTGACTTCTGGGCCTTCCAATGAGCGAACACAGGGAGCGGTCCACCCAATTCATACTCGGGGCTCCAGTGCAGCCCCACCTTCCTCCTCCGTTCCCTCTGCTCCTCCCCAGTCCTTAGACGCCTGGCTTGCTTCACGCCTATCGCAGCTCCTCGGGGATGCTCTCTCACCACCCCATCCCGGGATAGCCCC